AATAAATTTAAATATTTATTAAATGATGATAATAATATTAGCTGTCATAACCCGTACGATACGGGTTGTGGTAAATCTAATCCACACCCAACCATTTCTAAACTTGTTTCTAATTTAGTATTTATCACGGCCGTCTATACTAACATGCCTCGTAAACGCGTATATCGGAGCCTGGGGCTGGGGGCCATTAAAAATGGTCGTAAAAAACGTTTAAATGTCTTTATTTTAATAAAACCTGTTTATATAATAAAGATGTTTTCTTTCCATGTTAAAATTATAAGACTCTGATATTAGCATTAGCACATTGCAGAGTGACTTTCGGCAGACTTGATTTACAATTTCATGTAATAATATGTAAGAGAAAATTGTCCATTGACAAACATAGTCATTTGGTATTTTCAAACCTCCACGATTTATTTCTTCAGTATAATCACCAAGTTCTGCATAATAAAATTTAGCATCTTCTTGTTCTTCAACATCATTTCGCACAATATATCCAGCTATATATATCAATCCTGATTTGGTATCTATTTGAACACTATTTTCAAGTTCAGGCAAATTATCAAATATATCAATAGCATTACTGCTAAGTAAGTATCCACATTTTTGACAACTATGTCCACTTTCTGCAGATAAAGAATCAATGTCTATTCCAATTTGGAGACTTAATTTGGCTCTTTGAATTTTTACTTTTTCAATCACTTGTTGCACATTGATAAAATATGTTCCTCCAGAACTTTGTCGAAGTTTTCCGAACATTTTTTCTAGTGGGTCAGTTGTAAATTTTCCCAGTATAACATACTTAAACGAATGTTGGAGCAAAAATTTAGTAATGGCAACTAAACCACGGCATGTGTGAGCTAAAGCTGCACCTGTATCTCTGGTGAGCTGAAATTGTCTTTTGCGCTGTTTGCTGGTCATTTGTTCTGCCATTGTTGCAAGATTAAGTAAAAATGTCAGTCTAGCATCTCCTGAAGTTGATATAACTGCTCTATCTGGATCTTTATATCGAATATCAGCATACAGTCCTTTTGTATTAACAATTTTCCAGAATTTCACAAATATTTCAAGTAAAGTAATGGTGCCTTCTGCTTCTTTTATGTTACTGTTGAATTTTAAAGCAGTTGCAGTTTCATCACAAAAGACTTGTAAGCAAGTAGACACCTTTTGTCTTTCTATTGGTTTTGGTGCAACTGACACACTTGTAAGTTTAGACAATTTTACAATGTTATTTTCTTCAAGCCTGAACAAACTTAAGATATTAGACCAGCATGCATGTTCATAACATAGCTTTTCATGTTCATAACATAGCTTTTGACTTTTTTCTGTAACCCAGTTATTACGGACAGATTAAAGAAGTCATATAACAAGAAAGTCATATAACAAGAACATATTGTCTTTAGTTAACTATGGTTCAACACAATCAAACATTTTAAATAGTGCTTGATTTACACGGTTATTGTCGCATATTAAGGCTACCGGTATTCCTCCTGCACTCTTTATTCCCTCTAAAACAAATTGAGTTTGTTCAAACAGAAATTTAGAATCAAGCTCACAGACTGGTAAAATTCTGCAAAGATATTGTGGTCCTCCGTAAAGTGATAATAACATAAAACTTAAAACAGTAGTTGCTAAAGACTCTGGTTTATTTATCGCTTTACCAAAGACTGAGCCAGTATGATAAGTAAGAGATGATTTGACATAAACTTCGTCAATTAAAATCATACAATTTTTTTGCATTTCATTTTCAAGCTTAGAATAAACTGATTTAAAAAACTCTGTGTCGTTCATTGCAGAATCCAGTTTAGAAGTTAGCTTTGTTAATTGGGAAATACTTGGAAGTTCATAATCTTTCCATATAACAATCTCAAAATTGCAAAGTATTCAAATGGTCTTACAATAGTTTCTGTACTGTACTTTTTTTCCCCAATAGTAATTGGGCTCATGTCACTGATGTGTTGTAAAAGATTAATAAGTTTAATGCTTTTTGTTAGGTTATTTAGAAAATTTATTGCTTCTTGTAACTTCGAGGAAGAATTTAATATGAAAATCCTGTTTTCAGATAGAGATGCAATTGTATGCTAAATTCCACAAAAGTATCCCTCGAATGAAAAATCATTTTTTATTTTGAGCATAAAGCTGGCAATGGAAGTGTTTTCTTCAAAGTCTGTTGATTGAATTATTAGCAAATGTTCACCAGCAAAATACCAAGTTACATCAACTAATTCAAAATTAATTTCTTTATTTTGTAACTTCTGATGTAATGATTTAAAACATGTAATCTGATTAGCAGCTATAAACATATCAAGTTCATCGGGATAATATTCCGAACAGATGAAGAAGCTTTAAAGGTTGTTCTTAATGGCGATGGAACAGTAGGTATCAAACTTGGTTTTACACATGTAAAAACTGATGGAGGATCACGTGGCCTTTTATGACCAAACTTTATAACTGTAGGATATCCCAATGGAAATTGTCTTTCGCACACAATTGAATCTGGACTTTCAGGTATATTATCTCGTGGAATAACATTTATCCAACGATTATATTCTTCTTTATCAGAAGGAAGCCGGAAAACTTTTTCTTTATTTTGTTTGTTGTAATTACCATTACAGTTTGTCACGCAACATTTTTAGGCATTTTTTTGTCTGAAAACTAGATAACAATTGTTCTATATTAAAAAAACTTTGTTGTCGCTAGCAGTTATCGAAGATAGTTTTGAAGTTCAATGGCTCCCAGCTCCAGGCTCCGATTTACGCGTTTACGAGGCCTATTAAAACAGAGGGCCATGGTCTTTATACTTCAACTTATTTTAGTAAACGACAAAAAATAAATTAATTTAAAGTTCTGTTAGTTGGTAAAATGCGAACTTTTTCAAACCATAATTCTATTGCTTGTTAATTTACAATTAAAAAAGTCTAATTTAAATAAAATTTAAAAAATTGATGAGCAAATGTTTTAAATATTATGACTGTTGTAAACGACAAAAAATAAATTAATTTAAAGTTCTGTTAGTTAATAAAATGCGAACTTTTTGCAAACCATAATTCTATTGCTTGTTAATTTACAATTAAAAAAGTCTTATTTAAATAAAATTTAAAAAATTGATGAGCAAATGTTTTTAATATTATGACTGTTGTGCTCATTAAAATGTCTCGGCTCGCTAAAAAGTACGCAGTTGACTTCATGAAGTTCTCGGCTTTTGGTTAATTTTTAATTTACTATACTTAAGAACTGTTTAGTATTTTTAATTATTACATTGATATTTTCTCCATAATAAAATAATAAAAGTATCTTTAGCATATAAAACAGTTGCCTATCAATTCTTCAGGTGTTTTTGGAAACTTATGCTATGATAACTTTCTCATAAAGATTTGTTTAAAAAGCAAATTTGGACGTTGAAAAATGGGCCAAGCCAAAGAGTTCTAGTTATTTTAATTAATTAATCTTTATCTGCTTGATATTTTTTATAAAAGCCTTTCTCTAAAAAAACACTTAACAAATTCATACAATTAAGCTGTTTTTACTACGGAATTAGGCAAATAAACTTTTAAACCTTTTGTTTGTGCAATCGAGACTTAATGCAAATGAAAACCGTCCTGATAGTACACAGGGTGATAAAAGTATAAACGGTTTTCATTTACATATAAAAAGTTAACGGAAATATAAAAAAACAAAGCAAAAATAGCTAATATATCTATTCAAAACTCCAAAATTCTAAAGAAAAAAATTATAGAAACTTTTTGAGAAACAAACTAAAAAGTTTTCTTGAGATAAAACAAAAATACAAAAAAAAATACAAAAAAAATTTTATTCAAAAATACTTTTAATTACAATAAATACAATTTAATTTGAAGCATTCTTTCATTATTACATATCTTTTAGTATATGGTATGGAGATTATCAAGCTTCGCTTTAGCTTTTTGAAAACAATCAACATTCAGAACATTTCTTAAATTCTACAATGTAGGAAAACTCTCAAAATCAGTCATAGGAGAAGGAATTCGACCTAAAAATGGAACATAGTTATTATTGAATACACTTAATACACATCAATTTGTTATGTAATTTATTCATTTGAAAACTCAAAAATGTGACTAAACAGATAACAACTTAGTGAGGTTGTTTATCTTTTGTGAAAGTTACGAGATTTACTGTTACAAGTTTGGATTAACAACTCTTTTTAAAAATGCAAGGCTAAAACAAATGATCAAAATAAAAAAACAAAACCTAACAATCCAATACATATCCTACCCAATAATCATTTCAAAGTAAAGACCCCGTCGTGAAAGTAAACCAAATCATCTAATCTATCAACACAACGAAAGTGTAAAAAAAAAGGATTTGAACCCACACAAAGCCCTTTAACCGCTTTTTGCATGTTTTAAAGGAATAAAATATAATCTGTATTGTATTAATGTAATTAATGTATTAATGGAATTAATTTAATATACAACAACAATAAAATTATATATTAAAAAAAAGTATGTTTACAAAAAAAATTTGACTAAATTTGGATTTCAATAAAGGATTTAGAATTAAGGATCAATAAAGGATTATAGAACACTATAACGTAAATACTTATTTTAGACGCAGCGTTTTTTATTTTTATCTACTACTCACTCTCCTCCTCAACATATGTACATATATATAAAGAGGCGGGGGATGCTTTAGCTCTAAGTTTGAACCCACACACTGTGAGAATGGGCCCTCTATTCGTTCAACAAAATGCTTAAAAAAACATCGTAAGTTATCTAAATAAAATTAAATAATGGCATGAAAAAAGTAAAGAAGGCAAAATAGCACTGCAAAGCAATTAACCTGTTACTGATTAAACAATCAAAACCTATAAGAAAAAAAAACTTTATGCATAACAGAAAAAATTTCTTAAAACTTAAAAAACAAAAAAATAATGTTATTCAAACAGAAATTAAATTTATGCTTACCTTGTTTGCAAAAAAAACTAATTTTTATTTAAACTTTTAGCTAATGATCAACATAGTTAACTAAAAATAATTCAAGCTTACTAAGTTAAAACCATATTTTAACAGTAGACAAAGTAAACAATTAGTCTGTAGTGCACTAAAGTAGAACTAAAGAAATAAAATAACAACTAAGTTTAAAATGTTTTTAATACATAATTCTTGCAGTTAAAAACATAAAAAATAACTCTACCTTCACAAGATAATGAAGGTAAAATTGTTAAATCAAACTAAAAATAAAAAAACAATTATTAAGACGTTAATTTTTTCTTAAGTATGATCCTTTTAATTAAAAACAATAATATCTTCTTGAACAGATAAGGACACATTGATGAAAATCTTATTGCCTATTCTAGATATAGAAGACTTTATTTAGAATTTGACTATTGTACCCCCTCCAGTTTAAAACCCATGTCGTTGGACAGAAAAATACAAACTGCTATTCAAATCAAACAACTTTAATTACATTTTTATTACATTAAAATAAATACAAACTTTAAAACTTAAGATAAAGATATATTCAAATTTAAAACTTACAATATATGATAAGCTATGAGACTGCAATTAAAATAACAATGACATAAATATTGTTATTTAATATTTAAATAATTAGGAACTAAAAAAGTAAATTTGAAAGATCTTTTAAAGGTAAATTTAACTTAATAAAATCTAACATAAATATCACCACTAGAAAATAACACTGTACTAAATAATTAGAATAATGTAAAACATGTTTGAGTATCTAACAAAAAAAAAAAAATCAATAAAAAATAAAAAACAACTTACTTATATCTAAAATAAGCTCATCTTCAGCTTCTATAAAATTAACGGCTTGCTGAGAAACATTTTCTACACATCTCTAACAAAACAGAACATGTTTCATTAACTAAAACATTAAAAAGTCAAACTTTAGTAGCTATAAAAACAGATTGAAAATTACAAAATACAATTATAAATAGAATTCATATATAAAAGTATATTGAATAATTATAGTTTTGCGATAATATTAAAGAGATATTCAAAGATATTTGGAGATTCAGGAAAGTTTAAAAAGCAATTTAAGTACTTATAGCATACACATCTACAGTGCCTAGTGCATCTCATGTTATTTAAGACATTAAAGTAATTTATGCGCTCTCGGTTAAGAATGTTTAACAGGGGTTTCGACAAATAGCTGTAAACCTCTAAATTTCCTTATAATGTTAATATTAAATACTTTTAACTTTTAATTATTTTTAAAAACAATAAATTTTATAAATTAATATAGTTTAAATACAAAATTAGAATTTTTTATTATGTTCTTAATAAAAATATAATTTTTAAACCCCCTTACCGTTTTTAAAAAAAGTTAAGGTCGCCGCGTGGCAAGTTCATCAGCCTGCCACGCGGTTTTAGTAGGACTTGAACCACGACTATCTTGGTTCAAAACCCAGCGCGCAATCCACTCTACTACGCAGTCACGTTGAGTACAAAATTTCAAGTTATATAAAAATTGTTTTTAACGGATATAAATACAAAAGATTAGAAATTAGGCAAAGGTTGACGAAATGCAGTTCTTAAGTGAAAATCAAACTGTTGAACTTGATATATGTTTAAGCATGTTTTAACATTACATAACATGAAGTTTAGGTAAGTACGAAATGAGTTTCTTGTTTGGTCACGTTTTCTAATAAAGCAAAGGTGAGACTCTTTCTCGTCACTACCTCGGATGCAATGGTTGCCAAGAGTATCGTGTCAAACAGGCTCGAAAGCGCACTATTAAGTCCAGTATTATTATAAAGAGATAAACGTATCATTATTACCGTAAATTTATTAAAAATTGTTATTATTAACATCAAATATAGAATATATTGCCCCAAAACAAATTACTTTTACCATAATTATGATAAACTCAGTTTACTTTTTTAACTTTTAATGATCAATACAGTAAGTTTCAAATCATTAAAATTTGCCAAATCAAAACCATATGTCAACAGTTGGTAGTTCAACCAAATTTAAACTAAAGGTAGGCACTAAATAAGAAAAAGAAAAAAAAATTATAAAAAGTAAATAGTTTATTAACTATTAATTTATATACAAAAATATAACAATATAATATAAATTTTTTTTTTATGTTATATAAATATAACATAAAAAAAAGGCTTTTAAAAAAAATCAACAGAAATAATGCTAAACCTATTTTAACTAGAGAATAAAAAACTACTTATATTAGGAGTATTGTAATAAGATTCATACCCCAAGTTCCAATTAGTCTAATGTAAAGAAGTGATTTTATTTATTTCAAAAAACTAATAATAAAAATACTGACAGATATCTGAGACGCTTTATCTAAACTTTAAAATAAACTTTATTAAAATAAAGCCATGAAATATTTCTAAAACGCTTAACTTAAAAAACCAATCTACTAGAAGTAATACTATTCACTAAAAGCCCAGTCATATTAGGTTATTACCGAAAAAAAATTCAATTTAAGCTAAAATTTAGCACATACTCTTGTAATATCATATAATAACACCAAACCCCCCCCCTCTCCCCCGTTGTTAGTCTTTTAAAAAACTACTTTATGACATTTTTCCATAATGCTCAATTTTACTTTATTTTTTAACGTCAGAATATAGGTTTATAAAAATATAACACTCTAAAACGATTTTGATTTTAAATTTTGACAATTTTATAACAGTGAATTCACAATTACAAAATATAAAATAAAAATTACTATTATGGTGGTCCACCTCAATTAAAAACGTAATTTTTACATTTTTTTGTTTTTTTTAAGTGATTTTTTAAGTTTTAGTCATAGTAGAACATAATTAGAGCACCTTTATTGGTTAAATTTGTATATTAGTAGGTCTAATTCATCTTTTTAATAGGGTAGATGGATTTTAGTTACTTAACAACACCCATAGCAACTGTTTTGTAAGATTTTTTAAAAATTGATTCCTGAGGTGCTGTTTATAAACAGCACCTCAGGAATCAATAAATATAACAAAAAAATTAAACTGTTAGGTCCTATATGGGCTTTTGATAACTTTTGGCTATATTTTAAAAGCCTATCACGTTGTTGCAAGGAAAACACTAAATCCAATTTTTCAAAGTGCAATCTAAATTTTACTGACCGATGCAATCTCTAAAGAAAAAATAGTTGTACTTTAAAATAAAAGCAACTCTAAGATTTTTAATAACATTTTTATTTAATATTTATTATTAATCATGTTATTATTAATAATGTTTTCGTTTAATATCAATTTCATACCATTTATATCACATTGTGAATGCCGTAGAAAATGAGCTTGACGAGAATAACTACAATATTATAATAAACTTTAAAGTTTTAAAAACAATGTTTAATGATTGTATATGTAAAGAGTGTTGCTCAAATGAAGCAAAGCTGTTAAAGAACTTACTAAAGAACAATTTACAAAAAAAAAATGGGTTCTCATACGAGTTACAGTTATCGTGTGATACATGTAAATTTATTTCAAAATATAATACATCTCTTCAAAGTTATAAACAAATCTTAACCTCTCCTAGAAAACATGTTGGAGCTGTAAACCTTAATGCCATTGTAGCTTTTAGAGAACTTGGCAAAGGTTATCAATCTTTGCGTACTTTAGTAGCATTCATAAATATGCCACCTCCTAGAATCAATAAGCAAATTATTATGTTGCATGAGAATTAATGAGCATATTATTATGTTGCATGAGAATCAATGAGCAAATTATGTTGCATGAGAATCAATGAGCAAATTATGTTGCATGAGAATCAATGAGCATATTATTACGGTGCATGAGAATCAATGAGCAAATTATTATGTTGCATAAGAATCAACAAGCATATTATTATATTGATCAAAATGAGTTTAAAGCTTAAAGACTCCGACCCCAAAAACTTTTGACTATTTGACTAAAAAATTATTTATTATTTGACTAACAAACTATTTGACTAACAAATTATACAAAGCATATGAGACTGTTGCTATTCAAAGTACTACTAAAGCTGCATGTCAAGCCAGAATGGCTCTTTGTGCTGATCATAATGAACCTATATATTGCCAGGTATCTGTTGATGGTACATGGCAAAAGCGTGGGCATCAATCGCTAAATGGTGTTGTAACCATAATTTCAAAAGATAATGAAAAGTGCTTAGATACCATTGTTCTTTCAAAAAAATGCAGAGGTTGTTTTTACTTAACTAAACCCTTAAGCCTGGATATCTTCATTGGAAGTTAAATCATGTATGTGATGCTAATCATGAAAAATCATCTGGAGTGATGGAATCCTGTGGGGCTGTGATATTACTTCCTCTATCGTTAATAAAGAATAATTTAAGGTACACTTCATATATTAGGGATGGTGATACCTCTTCATTTTTTGATGTTGTTTCCTCAAAACCTTATGGCGATATAAATATTAAGAAGCTAGAATGTGTTAGTCACGTTCAAAAACGAATGGGAACTTGTCTTCGCAACTTGCGCCATAGTAAAAAAGGCAAAAAATTCATTGATATTAAGCTTGGTCAAATAAGTCTAAGTGGCAAAGGTAAATTTACAGACAAAGCGATATTTCAAAATTATTATGGCATGGCCATACGACAAAATGTTGACATGTAGAATATGCAGAAATCTGTATCGGCTGTACTTTTTCATAACTCTGACATTGAGGATGAAAATATCCGTCATCAATTTTGTCCAAGGTCAAATACAAGCTGGTGTTTGTGGCAGTCAGATAAACTAACTAACTTATTTAAATAGCAAAAAACAATTGAGCCTTTCATTAGCTATTCACAAACTTTTAATTCCTATATTTAAAGATCTATCTAACCAAGATTTTTTAAAAAAGTGTCTTCATGGTCTAACATAGAATAATGCTTGAATGGTGTTATTTGGAAAAGATGCCCAAAAGATATATATGTTAGGTAAAAGGTCTTTAGATTCAGCTATTATTTTGTTCAATGATCGTTTTCAAGGAGTTTTAAAAGTGTTTAAAGTTTTAGGTGTTAATACTGGGCGGTTTATGAAATATGCTTCTAAATTATATGATGCATTACGCATATCAAAAGGAAATCATAAATCCACCAATAAATGCATAATTAGAAGGCAAAAGTTGAGAGGAATTAAGAAAGGGTTTTTGGATAAAGAAGCAGAAGAAGAACCTGTTCCATTTTATGAATCTGGAGCTTTTTAAATAAAATTTTATTTTTGTTTTTTGATTTTCTTCATATTAGTATTTTAGCGAATTAAATAAAGTTAAAGAAAAATATCTCCTGATTGGTTTATTCTTTTTCTTTGAAATTTTTCCAGTTTGTTTAAAATACATTGGAAAAGGACTGGTAGCAGAATATTTATTTTTGCTTTCTTTTAAGTTTTTTTTTGTTGTCATCCAACAGTGAGGCCTTCACGTTAAAAAAAAGAACCATTATGGCAATGCCTGTAACTTTTGAAATATTCCAGTTAGACAAACAAAACTGCTAGGGTACCTGAATAAACATATTATTAGCTGAAATAACAAAGGGCATTAAAAAAGGTTATTTACTTCCTGAAAAATCTTTTTTTTAAATAACACACTAAAACAGGTTAAAAGTTGAATAAAAGAGGCAAATTATAGGATTTTTTTTTTACAACATAATTAGACTAATTTGAAAATTATGAACTCATTAATAAAGAAAATCAATTGAACTGGGGTGGACCACCTTAAAATATCATTGGTAACTCATAGAAATAGTCCAGTCATTTTAGGAAAAATAAACCCATTACCCGGAAAAATTCTGAATAAGCTGAAATTTGGCACATACTCGCGTAATATTATATAGAAACACTAAAAAATAAACCCCTATTGATAGCCTATGGGGAAAATGAGTTATTGACATTTTTCCATAATGC